CTGCGCCCCTGCCTTGCTCCCCTACCCCCGTGTGGCCTCGTGGCCCCTCCTCCTGGGGACTGTGAGCACAAACTGTCATCTCGGTGACCGGTGTCCCCGGACCTGGCCTCCCCACACCTGAACGATAGTAAACCTACATCTCAAACCCAATGCAATCAACACGCTTGCTCTATAGAATCTGCATCAAAACACAGCGTGGACTGCCCACGCCTTCAGGGCATCTGGGAACTGACCACCTGTTAGGCCACAAAACGGCCCGGTAGTCCCAGGAAATCGGCACAGACCCGACGGTGCTTTCTGACCACAACATGCAACGTGAGAGCGCAGTGCTAAGTGGGTGACTCGTAAAAATAACCACCGGGCGACGCTCACACGGCACCCTTGGTGCGAGCCCTCAGCAGCCCTACGACCACCCAAGTAGCCAGCCATCTCCCGTGCGGACCACGCGGCCGGGCAACCTGCAGGCCCGCGTGCGTCTGTCCATTTTTGGTGGCTTGGTAGCCGCTCAGCCTTCCTCGGGGCCGCCCCACGGCTTCCCGGGTCCCGGTGACCCGGTGCCGGTGGCTCCGCACCGCCCAGAGCAGGCGGCTTTCGGGGAGGACCCTGGGGGTCCCCGTGTCTGTGAGTCGCCTCTGGCTCTGGAACGAGAATGACGGCTCTTCCGTTTTTCTCAGCGGCGCCCCTCACCACCAGTGCGTCGCAGACTCGATGAAACACAAGGTGTCCCCCAAAACGCAGACCCACTGAGTAATTATTAATTCCAGGGGTTACACTCAACAAGGGAAACATCGGTTGAGCTATCGGCTGTTAAAGTGGGTGCACACTGTGGGGGACACCTGCCTGTCACCATGTCCGTTAACGTCTAAGAACTTGTGAAGGCACTGAAATGGCATCAATAAATCCATCCGCTGAGTCAAAAAAACGTGAAAGACAATTCCCTCCTGAGAAGGATGAACAAACTCGCCGCTGGGTCAGACGCGAGCCGTGACACAGGTACACGGCAGCAGCCACGCGCCCACACGGACTCGGCGGCAGGAGGCCCGGGAGGAGGCGGAAGCGTTGGGACGCCCGTGGCCCCGGCGACTCACGTCGATTGCCGACGGGTTCAGGACCAGTTTGCATCCAAACCAGATCAGACATGTCGTGGTGACCGCGAACGTGGAGACAAACAGCAGCTGGAAGCTGGGGATCTGGAAGAGAAGTCGGGCGTGTGCTCCTCCGCGCCGCACTGACCCCACCTCCCGGCCACCCGTGGGGAGGCCCACGGACTCCTCCCGGTGAGAGGGTGGGGGCTCGGGCTGCCGTGGGCAGTGAGGTGCATCCACCCAGGCACACATGCACGCACATAAGTGTACGCACGTGCACACGAGTACACGCACACAAGTATGCGTGTACACAGGTGAGCACACACGTGCCTGTCGGCCCCGCAGGGCCTGGTCCCACGACGGCCGCGGGGATGCACTGGAAGAGAGAGAGCCGTGAGCAGGCCAGGCCCGGCCTGAGCGCTGAGCCTCCCAGGCCCGAGACGTCGGTTGCAAAACCAGGGTGCGGCCACAGGCTGGCCCTGAGAGGCCCCGTCTGCGGAGTGGCTGTTCGGGAAGAAGCGGCAGCTTCCTGGCGGGACGGGAAGGGCCCCTGTGTGACCCGTGTCCAGGTGGACACTCGGAGCTGGAGGCAGTCCCTGCGGGAGACCGGGCTTGGCTCTGTGCAGGAAATTACCCAAAGGGCAGGCGCTGCAGGGCAGGAACTCAGGAGCCGAGCCCCAGGGTGTTCTTGTCGGGGCCACTGTGACCCTCACCGGAGCAAAGACAAGGGAAGAGGGCAAGTGTGGGGCTTCGGGTGGGGAGGTGGACAGAGGGGCCAAGGGGCCTCAGGGGCCACACCACGTGTGACTCTTGGGGGTGACGCACCTGCAGACGCTGCCGTGGGCGCAGCACAAGCTGAGGGGCGGGGCCTGCGGGGCCAGAGCAGTGGTTGGATGGGGAGGGGGAGCCCTTGGGACCCCACAACCCCTGTCACTTGAGGGGGAGGGGCATTGCCAAGATCTACGCCGGGACCCCCAGCCCAGGCTGGCGCTGCCCTGAAGCCATCAGGGTCAGAGGTCAGGTCACTGTGGCCCCAACAAGGGCTGCTCCAGAGGTGAGGACAAAGGTCACCTGGAAGGTTCTCTGAGAGGCAGGGCGGGCGTCAGAGCTTTGTCCTGAGGCAGCAGAGGCCGCCCAGGGCGGGAGGGAGGGAAGCTGTGTCAGTGGCTTCAGGTGTTAGAGGACCGGGCGGGGCTGCAGCGGGAGCGGGCAGGCGGGCGGGCAGGC